TTTTTGGGCCCGAAATATAAACGAGCCGAACACGAATTGAGCATGGCTCGCTCGTGTTCGGCTCGTTTACACCCCTAGATTGAACAGTGTATCATCCGTATGAAACAATTTTTCCTAAATGAGAGTGTAAATTCCACTAATTTTTACAAGCGTGTGGTTCTAATTATTATTTTTTGTGTAAAATAGGGTTCTCAAATTGGGCTCGACCTTCAAGCTCTAAAGTTTTCGAACCGATCATAACATTAAATGGGTCTAAATGCCCAAGCCGAATATGACCCATCTTCAATCCGCCGCCTAACACATATAACCCATTTAATTTAAAGAACAACAATCATTCAAGTCAATTTTAAGTCAATATAGAGTCAAACTTGAGTCGGTCGTTCCAGTTCAAATCATTTTACCGACCTAAAATTTATTTAGACAACTTGAACTCTGATTTTTCGAGTTCGGATCGAGTAATTTTATTTTTGACACTTGGCGATTAACGGCACCTTTTTAATTTCATAATAAAATATAAAGTCAAAAGAGAATGAGTATTTATTTTATATGGAATCAAAATTTTTTAGTTTGTCCGAGTCCATAAAAAATTTACAGAGAAATAATTCATTAAAACAAAATGAAACCAATATTTGGCCAAATTTTTATTTTTTTATGCAGTATAAAAGAATAGATTAATGCAGCCGTGCACATTTGGTTACATTATTTTATAATTAAAATAAAAAAAAATCATATAAAAGGCTAAAGGAGAGTTGTATATTGTAATAGTGGTTATATATACATATTATACAATCATAGATATTTACATATCTAACACAATGTTTCATATTTACATACATACCAGATTGATGCAGTGGAGGTTTGTATGAAAAGGATTATTTCAGTTTTAAGAAATTTGCATCGGTAATATTGATGTGATGTTTGACTGTTTCGCATGGAAATATGAAGGTTTAGTGGTTAGTTCTATAAATACATAAAAATAATGTGGTCTATATATAAGCCACCAGTTAAATTAATTGAATGGGAAGACTTGCACTACGCTGTTTTCTTTTTGAAATAAAAGCTAAGCAACTTATTACAATTGGAAAACATTTATTTTATTCAATAAATATTATTTTGATGCTTTTGTATTAGTGTTTATATATGGAGTTTAATGTCACACAACGTGATTTTTTAGTTGGCAACTACATCGTCTGTCATGAGTCCCCTAGGATTATGGGTTCGAGCCCGCTTTAGTCCATCTATCTTGTAGTGCGGGATCAAGTGGTTTAACACATTGGGTTAGTTGGGGGGCTCGTATCATAAATCTGAACCTTTAATATATACACACATACAAAATTATATAAATATTTTTCACTGTCGTTGAAAAATAGGTGAGCTTCATTTATAAAAACGATAAGCTAATTAAGAGAAAAAGACATTTAACCACAAAACTATTTTATAAAGCCAGGGAAAAAGTAGGTGGATTTGATTTTATCATAGAATCATATATAAAAATTCTCTTTTCCAGTAGAAAGTTCAGAAGCTGCTCTCAAGAATATTAAGAGAATCACATTATATTTTTATATCACTATATATACGTCTCTAACTTCCATTATTTTCTAACAATCTCAAAGTACTCGAGTGAAGGATTTGGAGCACCATCAAACAATGAAGGGCCATCGTGACAGCAATTGATAAAAAATAAAAAAATAAAAGTACTAATAAAGGTGATTTTGCATTAGCCTATATAATTGTGCATAATATTTAATTTTTTTAAAAATTAAAATAATTATATTTTTGATGTGATGTTATATATACATTTACAACTAAAACTAGTAAGCAAGGCTTTTTACAAAGAGTCTCATACAAGCCAAATGACCCCTTGCCAAAGAATCCGACCGTTTTTGTTAACTAAGCTCATCTGCCGAAGCACAACTAACAAAGTAGCTGAATTGAGCCCACCACTGAAGTGGCTGAATTGATACTTTCTGCCTAAGTGCCCAAATTTACCTCTACCCTCGGGAAGACTTAGCCATTAATGACAACTATCAGAGAAGGTCATCATTACATGCATGGACATGAGTCCATCCTTTCCTAAAAAGTGTCGCCGCCTGAAAGCCACAATGTGGTCTTTTTGCCAAGACAATGTGGATAGGCTCAATACTCTACAAAATGTATTTTCCTTTTTTTGAAAGCAGACTAGACAAAACGGGCGACACTCTCTCAAGCATCACATCCAGCCTTTTCTTCCACATTCATTCTAAAAGTAAGATCTTTATCGAGTTATATGTACTCATAAATAATACAGGGCCTTAGATCCTAAATTGACTAAACATATATGAAATATTTGGCTGGCATAACGCTAAAAAGAAAATTTTGGGTATTAGATATATAAATACATAGAAATTGGGTGTTGTGTATGACAAAAAGCACACATTTTGCAGACTAGTTATTTAGGCAACTGAAAAATGTTGTTTACTTCCAATACAAAAAAAGAGGATAATTAGCAGAATTTGCTGTCGATTTAGTAATTTTTGATGTTGTAAATCCAACAACTATTTGCTTGTCCGAGTCTGGAATCCAATGAGACATGGGGGCAAAAAAAATAAAAAATAAAAAAATAGTGGAGTAAATTGCATTAATTGCTGTCAATTTGGTACTGGATAAATCTCAATTTGAGCCAAAATTTCTCTCTGTTAGGAATTATTAGCTTCTATTAGGTGTTGATGGAATTTAACATATACCCACGATAAACCAATCAGCAAACAGAAAATTGTACAGGTGGTTAAACTGATTTCTGATTCTTAGAAAGGTTCTACAACCAAATGAATGCTAAAGTTCCAGGAAGCATTGGACCTCATGGCCTGCTTGTTTCGGCTTCTCATGATCTAGAGGGGCACTAATTAATATTGATCATGCTGATAATAGAAAGCATGATATTATTTTAACGAAATTTGGTTCTATGCAATCATACTCTGCTATTTCATTGCTTATAAGTTCATGCTCTGCCCCTTCATGCAACAAAAAAAGACCTACTCTGAGTCTACTCATCTCATCTCTGACAGGTTGTCCGCACCAGCTTTATGGGATTGTATGCCAAAAAGGAAAAGATATTCCTGAGGGTTTTGGTGAGTTTCTTAATTTCTCATCATTTGTATCTCATTGATGACATATCATTTATAATTCAATGCTATTATTAGAAATATTTATTAGAAATATTTATTTTTAAAATAAAGCGAATTTGCAAATATGGCACTGAAAGATATTCTATTTACAAGCAAAAACAATAAACCTTCTATTTACATGATATCATTGAGAGAGGGAGAACATAAAAATGAATTTCATAGCCTTAACAAAACATTATACTAACAAGACTGTTCCAATCGTTCCACAGGTCGATCCATTAAAGAAAAAAAAAATCCCTATTGTTAGTGAAATCACAATATTTCATTGCATTTTTTCAATATTCAAAATAAATGAGCAAACTTGAACAACCTGACTCAAATCAACAATAACTCAAACTTGAGTCTAACTCATTCAACTACACCACACATAAGAATTCAAACTAAAAAGGATGGAAAAAAAACAATATTAATAAGAGAAACTCAAATTAATACTGCAAAAGAAAAATAATCGACAAAAAATATTCATAGAAGTTCATTCCATTAATTCAAATATAATTGACAGAATTCACATACCAATAACATCAAAGGAGCTTAATTATATCGCAACATCTTCACATATAATAACTTGTTTACATGCAAAATAAATCTTTTCTCAGTTGAAAAGAATACTCGTAAAAACTTAGATTATGGCTCAAATCATTTTTTTCAACTATAAAATATGTTCATATTTCAATCCATCTACAGCAAATACAGAAGCCCTTCGCCAAAGCCATCATAGAAAAAAAAATACATACAGAACACACATTTCTTAAATATTTACATATCTAACACCTAAACTAGTATGATTTACATTTATAACATTTTTGTGCCACGAATCTATTCATCAAAATGTATATTTCACTATTAAAAAGTTAGTGATAGTGACCTGTTTGATGTAATATTAAAAGATTTAATTTTTATGCATGTAATATATGAAAACTTGCTTGCTAAATATGTAAATCTTAAAAATTGAGTGGAACGTTTGTAAATGCCTCCAAAAATACAACACCAAATAAGGAAAAGCAACAAATAATAAGTCTGGTTTTAAAAAATTCTAATTCAGAACAGTGAAAAAAAAAATTTCAAAGACTTCAGATGTCCGCAATATAATTGAAATCTCACATAGCAGAGACAACAAAGACAGCTACAGTCAACAAAATTCTTAAATTACCATCTTCGACAAATCGACCATATAACAGAAGAAGGTACCGAAGAATGAAACTATAGTCTTCTTCCCCTTCTGCCGCCCTTTCTACGGGTGCTATCGGTGGGAATTGGTGTCACATCCTCTGGAAAAAAAAAATGTAATAAAACTAAATATTTATCGAGTTTCATCAGACAGTAATTTATCCACAACATATTATTCATAATATCGATTGTCAAATTCAAATATCAAGAGTAGCTGTCAAAATTCAAGCAATCTACATGAAATATAAATGAATTCTAGAGAAATATTTTTAGAATTCAATCATTAACATAAAAGCAATAAAAAGCAAATAAGGGATATACATAGAAAAACATAACACAGCAAAATTCTTCTCTCAAATTTTTGTTTTAAGGTACCAAAAAAGAGAAAAAGAAAAAGAAATATAGTAAAAGAATTTCATTGAAAAATATCTTCACCCATTACGGAAAAATAATCCAACTTTTTTCTGCTTGGTTCAAAATAAAGAAGGAAAGCAACTTTTAAATTGAAAAGAAATGCAGTGTCGTGTTAATTTGCAAAGAAACCAAGTGAAAATATAATATTTTCCTTTTTGTATGCTTTGAATAAAAAATAAGAAAAAAAAAAGGTTTTTCGCTCGGTTTTATTTGTACATTAGAAAGGAATATAATTTAATGTCATTCACAGTTCAGTTTTACTTCAGCTTTAAGCTTTCATTGGACTCAAATAGAGAAGCAAAAAAAAAAAAATAAATAAATAAATAAATAAAATCATTCATGCTTTAGTTCCTTTAAACTAAAAACAAATTTAAATAGCAAGTTACCAATGCGGCCAATTTTCATTCCAGAGCGTGCTAAAGCCCTAAGAGCAGACTGGGCACCGGGACCCGGAGTTTTGGTCTTGTTCCCACCAGTGGCCCTGAGCTTAATATGCAGTGCAGAAATGCCAAGTTCCTACAAAATAAAAGAATATAAAACCAAATTTAGCTGCAACACCAAAATGCAAAAAGCTTTATAAAATAGCAATGGCTCATTCCACACCTTGCATCGTTGTGCAACATCTTGTGCTGCAAGCATAGCGGCATATGGTGATGATTCGTCTCGGTCAGCTTTAACTTTCATCCCTCCTGTAAAAGACATTGAAGAAGAAAGGGCTTAGAATGAAAATATGTAAAAAGGGAAATTTAAATACACACCACATAATTCTTATGTATTTTAATGTCTAACACCTAAAGCATGCACACCACTCAAAGCTTTAAAATCAAACCAAAAGTATCACCATCAATATCTTTTTAAAAGTGAAATAAACCTTTTTGCGAGATAAGTAAATACATAAGAATTGTGTGGTATGCATGTAAAAAGAGTAACCAACATCGTCCTATTATAAATGAAAATAATATCATAAGAGATGTTTTGAAATTCGAGCATTCTGAGGGAATTAAAGTCCAATGAATCATGGTACATAGCTTAAAAGAATGAAATAACCGGATGTTATAGCATCCATTGAATCTTAATGAAGAAGGTTCAGCAAGTCAGAAATGATGATATTGTATGCCTCAAAAGTTGAGCTCATAGAACAATTTGCCTCGCACATCTAATTGATTCATCATCCTTGCTAGAAATTTTCCAAAAAAGGATCTAAAATCGAATTAAGATTCATTAAAAATACAGTATCATAAAAAATAAAGCAAAGAAAAACATTTAATTGCACATATAAACAACTCCTAAATTAATAAATTGTTAAAAATTATGAGAGAACTTATCAAGGAAAAAAAAAAGAATTTTCCTTGAATGTCTTCTGTCTCCTTGAAGCAACAGCCATTAAAGGATTCCACAAAAAATATAACAGTAAAACAAATCAGAAATCATTTTGCATGAATAAAAATTGAAGTTAATGGTACAACTTGACTCACACATCTAATCGATTCATCAGGCTTTCCAGCTAAATATTTTCAAATTCCGAAATTGTGAAACAAATCCAATTTGAAATTTCAAAATACTAAAACAAATCCAAAGATAATTTAATGAAAATCATATAATATGCGTCAATTAAATTCACTCAAGAAAGCAAATTTTAAATTCCCATAAAATCAACTCACTGAATAAAAAAATTGAGATATTCTGCAAAAAAAGGCTTAAAAAATCCTAAAATGTCTTCCATTTCCTTAACACAAATATCTTCCATGTGAATTTCAGCAAGAACCACTCAAAAGGGATCTGAAAAAAATAACAAAAAAGACTGTTATCCCAAAGTTCCTCATTTGAATGAAATCACAAGCTAAAACAGGGACTTTGATGGCATGGAAATGGAAAAGGATCAAAAGAAAAACGCTTCGGATCCCATAGAAATAATATTGCGAGGCAATGACTCAAAACGCTTCCACTAAGAATAAGGAAGGCGATCTTAAGGGCCGCGCGTTAACAACTTCTAAAGTACATGTGCTAGTGTATATTTCTGAACATTTGAATAAAATTTTGTTAAGAAAACAAAGCATACTTAGGCTGAAAACCTAACACTCCTATAAATTTCCAATCATTTGCTGAACCCCACAAAACTCTATTAAATCAACACTGCCTCATCTTCATTTGATTTATCAATTTCACAAAAATAATCTTCTCCATTCCATTAAATATAGTTTCATCAATTTCATGGTATTGAAAAGTTATGACTATCAAAATACACCACAAAGGAAAGAACTATAAAAATGACCGAACTTCACCAAACAAACAAAAAAAAAATCATAAAAGCTAATAGTCATCATTAAAACACATATTTACCTGTGATACGTACGAGTGTTTCCCTACCAGATAAGTCAGTAACGTGCTGCAAACAAATATGAACAACATAGCTCAAAGGTTAAAATCTAAACTTCAATTAAAAAAGCGGCCTTTACATACATGGCACACTAACGAATTCATATATCTCACATCTAAACGATCACATTTACACACAAAGCACTCAAATTTTTAATATGACATCAAAATTAGTAGTATTACCATCTTTTAAGAATAAAATACACAAGTTCATGCATAGGTTTAAAGCACCAAAATGCTATGTATTGAAAAATAAAAGTTGTAGGTGTGAGATATGCAAATACTAAGAATTGTGTGCTAAGTATGTAAATTTCCCATTAAAAAACAAGTATAATTCAAGTTAAAATACACTCACGATGAAAGTGTCATTGAAAGATGCAAAGATGTGGGCAACACCAAACACAATCTCCCCATCACGTACTTTGGGTCCAAGAGTCACGGTTTCCTCTTTGGGCTCCTTGGTCTTCTTTCTTCCCGACTGCAAAAAAAACCCAAAAAATGTACAAAGTTGAACGGAAAAGCTCAATAGAAAAAATTATCCTCAAGCCAGAAGAACTCTGCAGCATTTTAATCTACAATTAATGTTGTGATCATCAGTGTTCATTCGACCTTAAACAACAGGAGACCCAAAAAGCTCCAAATTCCCAATCAAAACGAAATATCAGAGCCAAAAACATTTTTGAGATTGGTCGGTCGATAATAGAAAAAAATTGCAGAGAAGATCAATCTGAAAGCAAATCAAGGCTTCAGATATTAGAGAAAAAAGAAATACGTAACCTCAACTATAGATGTGTACATTATCTTAATTCCTGACCGATGGAGTTAAGATTTCCATGAATGTTAAAAATAAAAATAGATAGGTATAAAAAAAAGGGAAGACTAAGGGCTCTTCGGTTGCAAGAAGGGTTTAGCTTGAATAGGATTTAGTACATACTGAAAATCCAGATGTAGTAAATCCTTGGGTGCTTAAATCATGAAAAAAACTTTGATGATAAAAGCTAAATCCCATAAAATTTTCTGAAAAATATTAGGTAACTTAATTCAGAATTTAAGATTGTTCAGATATTAATTCAATATTACATACTAATGATAAAATTATTGATTCTAATTAAATTAATATATTTTTATTTCTAAATATGTTAATCAATAATTAACTAGTTACTAAACAAATTGGTTATTATAAGAATTTTATTAAACAAATCATTTCTTAAGGAGCATTTTTAAAAAACATTAATTCATTACAATAACAACAGCAACAACAAACCTCTATCCCACTAAGTGGGGTCGGCTACATTAATCATTTTTCTCCATTGAGTGTCAAGGTTTCATTTAATTATAATAAATTAAGATCATTTTTATACAATATAACCAGGTACCTATAGGTCTACTTCTACCTTTCTTAGCACAAGTCGAATAAAAAAAAATTACCCTCATAACCAAGCCATCAGATGGTCAACATTTAATGTGCTCAAACCATCTATAAGATGACTCTCTTTAATATTGTTTGCTACTGGAGCTACAACAACAATTTCACAAATACATTTGTTATGCAATTTATCACAAAGTGTAAAGCCACTCATCCACCTAATCATTCTTATCTAAACAACACTTAGCTTAGTTTTATGCTTCTTTTTTTAAAGCAAATATTATGCGCCATAAAACATTGCTTGTTATAAAACATTGAAGATCTCATCACCATCTAACAAAATTTTCCTCTAAGTCTAAGCGACACTTTTTCTATCAAACGATAGGCATGATGCATTCCTCCACTTCAACCAACCAACCTGAATTCTACCAATAACATCCTCATCTATATCACCAACACTTTAAACAATATACCCAAGATATATAAAACGTTCACACCTTTTAATGATTTCATTGCCCATAGTTACAACTGTCACTCGATCTAATATTACTAAAATTACATTCAATGTATTCAATTTTAGATATACTCAAACGAAGGCCTTTGAAGTCTAACATAGACCTTCATAATTCAAGTTTTTTTCTGAATTATTTTTCAAGTCTTATCCACAAGAGTGATATCATCAGCGAAAAACATAAACCAAGGCACATTCTCCTGTAAATGTCCAGTAAGAGCATCCATAACTAAAGCAAAAACGTATAGACTTAAAGACAATACCTGATTTAATCCTGAAATAGGAAAATACTATGTCAATCCTCCTTTTGTTTGGACACAAGTAACAGGTATATTATACATATCTTTAATGACTTGAATATAAGTCAAATCAACACTTATCCTTTCAGAAACATTCATTCAATATTCAGTAAAATTTACTAATTAGTTAAAATTTATTTAACTAATTAAATATTTATCTTTAATTTAATTTTCCCTAGTTAGCTATGAACTAATGACATTAACAAAGGGCTTTCTCGAGCTTATCAATTCAAAATGGTGATACATTAAGAAAGCTTTTAATTGCATGGAAGCAGGTGGCATCACAACTTGCTGATTTTCCATAAACCAAACTACAGCACTGGGAAAAAAACAAGCAAAAGAGAGAGAAACTGTATTTTTTTATTACTAGTCCTGGCTGAAAAGTATATGATAGCCAAAACACAACATTGGACAATTCTAAATTATGATTTGAATCAATAATCATGCCATTAATTAAATAAAAGTCTATCTTTTTTCTGCATTTTCTATCAAATTAAATTATCAGTAAGGTTAAAAAAACTGATTTATGCAATCTTGTTTATATCCAAATGGCCTCAAATCGAATAAATTCATCACCCCAGCTCCGATAAAAAAATTTAAAAAATAAAATATACGCCAAAGATAAAAGCAAGTAAAAATAAAAAAGATATTTCTAAGCTAAAAAAATTCATGGTGATGAGAAAACAAAAAGGATGGAAATAAATAAATAAATTAGTAAATACAAATTATCAGAAGATGAATGCAAGCTAAAAATGGCATCGCCCTTCGGGTTTGATTCATCAAATTATTATAAAATACATATGCATGACAACGCAATAACTCATAAGATTTTCCCCCATTCAATCCCACACTTGGGCCCAAAATCCTTGCCATACAGTCTCGGGTGAAGCTAGCTGGGAAGGCAACAACGGGAGGAAGAAGCCTCCTTAAATCGTGCTCGCAAAGAACCCCTAAGAGAGAAAGCAGGTAGATCTCTTACCATGACTCCGGCTGCTGCTGTAGATGAAGAACAGGATCAAACCCTAATTGCGCCGCCGCACTCTGCAAAATGCGAAGGAGGAGCTTCGGCATACAAAGGGTTTATAGGAACCTAAACGACGGCATCAAGACGAAAATGCCCTTTGCCAAATCATTCGGAAATATATGCATGCAACTCATATAATTTATATATTGGTATATTTGATATATAAATTATAATATTTATTTATTTATTATTTTCATAAATTTATGAGCTTTTATAAAATTTACACTGCAGTTTTTTTTTTTAAAGTAATTTAATTTGGCTCACTAATATTAGAAAAATATGTCAGCACGAATCTCAAGATAATCTATCAATCTAGCTTAAAAAAAATATAACGTGGATTCTCCCGATGAAAATCTATACAGTTTCACGAATTCCATATACCGAAGGCCACCCAACTGATTGATAGGCAATCAAACAGACCGAATGGTCGCTGGTGGACCGAAGGGTCTCCCATGCCAACAGGGGACAAACATCAATTTGAATCACATTAAAAGAAATGACCAGACAAAAGTCTGACACTTATAACTATTTAACAAGTACCAATACAAAACTCTCTCAACAGCTCCTACAAATTTCACCAAAAAAATTGCCAAAGAATAATATTCAAGCAAGCTGATTGGTCGCCTAAAAGCCGATAAACCACCCCACTCAATGACCGACCGACTTCCCATGACAAAAGTTGACCAGTGCCCAAACGAAACCGACTGAAACTAACTCTGTCGATCGATCCATGGATCTACCGACCACAAAGTCCATATATACAAAAAGGTATGAATACCTTGCATAATCACTATAAAACAGTGGTAAAACATGTAATTTTAAATTTTGTCCCCACTATCTCTTATAAATAGAGGGACATGATAATGTATTAAGGGTCATTAATTTACATATAATTATCTAAATTTTTCTTTTTACCTTGATACCATTAGAATATTTCATATCACATAAAAAAAACCAACATTTTAATTTTTAAATAGTGAAATACACATTTTCTTGAAAATACACTTTTTCAAACACAAATAAAGTTGTGTGCATGGAAAAATTAAAATTTTGGTCTTAAATATGTAAATGCATAGGAATTGACTCACATGTATGTAAATCTTTCAGTAAAAAGGCATTTCATAGCCTTAGCAATCTTGGCAATCAACATTATACTACCATGGTTGTTCCTCTATTTCTATAGGTGGACCCATTAAATATAAGTAGTCCCTTTTATAAGTCAAATTACAATACTTCATTGTATATTTTTAATGATTCTTGCTATGATTTAGATTCCTAGGACACACAACACTTCAAATATATTAAAAAAACTAACGTGTGTCTACAAAATACTTAAAATTTACGATATCTCAATCAATTTCAAGATTTGATTACTAAATTTTTCAAGTAGAGTATTTTCATCCATAATGAAATTTTAAGCCGAAGTCAAACTCATCATATAATTCATCCGCAATGCATTCTGAACTCATTGGATTTGACCGACTTCCTAATGCACTACACAAGTTGTCACAGTTCACCAACATCTATTGCCATCCAAAAAAACAGCAATCACCCCTCGCCAACCCCCACCAGTAGTAGTTGTTGCTGACCACCGACTATCTATTTAATTACTATTGATTGCCACTCGCACCGCAGCTCGTTAGCTGCTTGTTGCATGTCGACCACTTGTTGTCATTCACTAATCGACAAACGGGCACCAACCATAGAGTTTTGCATTAGTTTCATTTTTTTTAAAAACTTAAAAAAAATGAGGTATTGCATGACATAATATATAATGAGGATCAACAATTAATCCTAGATCATAAACCCAGCAGTATTTGCATTAGGTTTCACCTCGTTCTGAATAGGACTAATTCTTTTTATAATAGCAACATTTTTAGACAATGTATTTGTTTCAAAATAAAAGCTGTCGATGAATAATTATTTTAAGGTTATACCCTTCCCATTGACGATTAATGTATGATCGACATTTTCCTGATTTTTAAGGTGAAAATTGATTTTTAAGGTGAAAATTGATTTTCAAGTTTTCGATGAACATCTACATATAAAGGACTATCTGGATAAGAAGCAATTGGTCGAGACCTTCAATTTATATGAATATTCCATCAGAATACAGTTTTACTGTGTCACGTACAAATTAAAGGGCATGGTGGTGTCAGTGCCCACTGACTTCAACTACTTCAATCTCACAATTACTCTGAGGATATTTCCTACCATCACATTGTGAATAGATTTCGTACTTACAATATCAAAGGTGTGTATAGGGAAATCTTTCAGTGGGTCACACACACAAGAATTTTACAGGCTTAGTACTCGGAACAATCTAATTGAAACTAATTAACAGCTAGTTTCTCGGTACATTGGAGGACTCCGAGAAGCTTTTCCATATAAAATGGAGATGAATATGGTTTGGTCACAATCCCAAGCAGTAGATTTCACTTTTAAGGTTGAGTTGTTGTTAAGTCGAACACCCAAAGTTTACAACTAGAAGTTCGATCTAGCTGATCAAGTGATCGAGATCAAACAAGGTGGATCTAATGTCGCTAGAGAGAGCCCTTTCAGTCCCTAAAGTTTATTTAAAAATACGGAATAGAAGACCCCAAACCTGTTCAGAAACCCAACTACTAATGATAAGGAATATATGAAAAACTAGGACCTTCTAAGTTTTTTTTATTTTTTCAACCAGGACAAAGATCTAATGGTTGCCCAAATGGCGCAGTTACAACTTGCTAAAGGAGAATCTGGAGAAAGTACAATGATGAACCACCTTTTTCAAGAATGAATGTAAAAATAAGCAAGTTATGAAGGTGACTTTTTGTCATATGTAATTGAGAAAATTCTACTATCTCCAAAACAACTGGCTAAAACTCAAAGACATTCAATATTTAGAACTTGTTGCACTATTAATGGCAAAGTGTGTGAGCTAGTAGTTGATAGTGAGTGTACGGAAAATATGATTGTTATGTGCTCAATGCTTTAAACTAAAAACTTCTAAATAATCACATCCATACAAAAAATAGTTGGGTTAAATGATGAATTGATGTTTTGGAGGCTAATATTTGTAAGTTGACATTCTCTATTGGTAAGAAATTTATTTGTGAAGTAGTTTGTGATGTTTTGATATGGATGTTTGTTCTCTCATTTTGGGAAGGCCGTGGCAACTTGATGTTGAAGCTTGGTATGATGGTCCAACAAACACCTATTAGTGGAGAGTCATGCCATTTGGATTATGTAACAAAACAATCACATTCATGAGATTAATGCATGAGTTACATAATACTGCCCTTAGGCATTTTTGTGTAGCTTATTTTTATAATATTCTTGTGTATAGTTCTTCCAAGATAGCGCGTCTCCATTACTTACGACTGATTTTATTAGCCTTGGAGAACTATAGGTTGTTCCTTAACCGTTATAAATGTGAATTTGCTTTGTAAGAGGTATACTTCTTAGAGTTCATTGGGTGCAAACATGGAATTAAAATAGATCTACACAAGGTGGAGGCCATTTGATCCTAGCTGATGCCAACATATATCACCAAAGTAAACAACTTCCACGGGCTAGCGAATTTTTATCGCAAACTTTATCGCAATTTCAGTATAAAAATGTCCTTAATATTGATTCTCTCAAGCAAAAATCTTTCATGTGGGATGAAGAACAAGAATTCAGCTTCAACACTAAATTGTCTTAGTTCTGCTCCAATTCTAACTATTCCTTATTTTGATAAAACTTTCTAATTTGAAACAGATGCTTCAACTGTGGGAATTGGAGTTCTACTTTCTCAATATAATAAACATATCAAATGCTTTTGTAAGAAACTGAGTAGTCAATGACAAAAGTGGTCAACATACGAACAAAGAGGTTTTTGTTATAATATGCGCCTTTAAATAATGGAAGCATTATTTAATACATCAAGAGTTCATACTCTAAAAATCTAAAATTTAGTTTTGCATTAAAAAATAAAGTTGGGCATATCAATAGAGTTGCAAATGCGTTAATTAGGCGAGCTAGCCTTCTCGTTATTCAACCCACCATCACATAACAAAATTCCTTATCAGAACTGTATTCAGATAATCCATATTTTATAACTATATGGTCTCAATGTATTTCTTTTATAACTTCTACTGATTGTTCCTTGAATTGTGGCTTCCTCTTTAAAGGTAACCAATTGTGCATTCCCAATACGTGACTTTAACAACATGTTCTCCTGCATTTTCATTGGGAGTGGTTAGTCCAATCCAGATTCTTTTAGCCAAAATTAAATTGAGATGTATGTTGTTTTGTAGCGAAATGATTAAATTGCTAATTATATAAGTGAACATCACAAAATACTGATTTGTACACTCCCTTGCCTATTCAGAATACCATTTGGGAGGACTTAAGATGAGAATTTGTATTGGGTCTTCCGAAGACAGATAAGCATTTGACCCCGTCATGGTTCTGATATGCAAGTTTTCAAAATGGTCTCATTTTATTACATGTAAGAAAACTTTTGATGACATTAATGTTGCTAAACTATTCTTCGAAGAGATTGCAAGGCTTCATGGTGTTATTCACAGCTTAACTACAGAGTGGGACGTTGAACTCTTTAGTTGTTTTTGGTGTGAACTGTGGAAACATCTTCACACCGAGCTCAACTTTAGTTTGGTTTATCATCCACAAACAAATGGTCAAATAAAGGTAGTGAATCACACTATAGGGAATATGATTAGATGCATTACTGATGACAAAGCTAAGCAATGGAATGATGTCCTGGGCTAAGCTCAATTTGATTTCAATACCATGGTGAATAAAATTGCAAGTAGATTACCCTTCAGCATTATAAATACCTAGGAAACAAATCAAACCGTTAATGTGGCTTTTCTCTTAACTTCTTCTCAACCACAAGCCACCCAACTTGTCGGGTAATTAATTTGATCAAATGCTACAGAAAGTTAAAGATATAATAGATTGAAGCAATCTCAAATACAAAGAACAAGTTGACAGGCATTAAAAATAGATGGATTTTTAAAATGATGAATTGGTTATAATACAAGTGTGTAAAGAAAGATTTCTGATTGGTACTTATTCAAAATTGAACCCAGAAAGATAGAACATTTCTCAATTAAAACTAGAATCAATCACAATGCCTATGTGATGTCTCTTGTGCTCGATGTAAGCATTTCAGCCACGTTCAATGTGGCTATTCTTTACCAATATCACCAGCTTGATGATGGAATTGTACCCGTCAACCAACTCCAGTCGAGTTCTTCTAGATCAGAAGGGGACAAATGCAACCACATACAAAATAACACAATGTGATTCACATGAGCTCAGATTTCTTAAATACTTCTATCTTATTAGCTCATTAATATGCTAATTAAAGTTTATTTTCATGTTTAACAAGACACACACACACACACACACACACACACACACACACACACACACACACACAACCAAATGAGGCATTATGATTTCATTAATTGGAAGTTATATCTTGTTCCAAGAGGTACACTCTATGGAGTGTTCCCATTTGTCTTTTTTTTTCTTCCCATCGTTTGTGATTGAAAGGAAACTTCACAATAGAAATTATAAGGAAAAGAAAAAAAGCAAAATGTAAATATAAAATGTATGGAACATAAATTCCCCTATTTATTTCAACAAGACTGTAGCATAAGATCAAATATCTTTATATTATCAAGCAAAACAAAGTAAGATAAAAAAAAAAAAAACTAGAAGAAGAAAATGCAAAACAAATTATTCCTTCACTGATCACTCACATGTCTGATATAAAAGATCAACCAAACAAAACCCTAAACTTTAGCTATTCACTCATTACTCATTAGCCTTCTTCAAAGTGTTTGCCACATCGATCACAAATCGATAACTGACATCACCCTTAGCAAGTCGTTCCAGCGCAGTGTTCACATAGCTCATTGGTATTAGCTCAACTTCAGCAGTAATATTATGTTCTGCAGCAAAATCTATCATCTCTTGTGTTTCTCTCATCCCCCCAGCTGCAGAACCACTAACTATCTTTTCATCTTTCTTCCTATATATTAATACATGAGTTATGTTCAGGGATCACAAGTCGATCTTATAAATTTTTAAAATCAAACCTAAATAAGAATTATTAATGTTGCAAAAAAAAAAGATATATTGAAAAATCTTACCCAAAAGAAGAGGAATGGAAGGAACTTGCAGTTGCTCCTTTGATGCTCCAAGCACTACTAATTTACCATGCGCCTTCAAAAGCCCTAATAATGGTTCTATTAGGTGATATGCAGATACTGTATCAATAATCCCATCCAAACTACCAGCAGCCGCCTGTCAAAAACATGTAAATAAACAAAATAACATTTATAAAACCAAAAAAAGTGAGACAAATTATATATATGTACCTTGATTTGTTGTTCATTAGTGCTGAGAAGAAATTGATCAGCTCCTAAGATTTCTATTGCCTCCTTTTGTTTGTGTGGTGAGGTGCTGATGACCATAACTTTCATCTTCATAGCTTTTGCAAACTTAACAGCCATATGGCCGAGACCACCGAGCCCAACAACGCCAACATGAAGCCCCGATTGATCGAGGCCGAAGTAGCGCATTGGGCTATAAACAGTGATGCCGGCACAGAGCAACGGTGCAGTAGAGTGGAGTGGGAGTCGATCGGGGATGCGGAAGACATAGCGCTCATCAACGACGATGGTATCGGAGTAGCCGCCGTAGGTGGGCGAGCCATCATAGTCGGTGGCATTGTAGGTCATCACCGCCCTGTGACAGTAGCTTTCAAGGCTCTCTTTGCATTGCTCACAGTCGCCGCAAATTCGAACGAAGCAGCCCACTCCAGCTTTATCTCCGGCCTTAAACTTTTTCACCTTGTCTCCTGCTTCCACCATCTCGCCGATGATCTCATGCCTGGACTTGGACATCAGATTATAATTCAACATAAATTAAAAATAATAATAACAATAATAAAGAATTGACGTGTATTTTTGACTAAACAAAAAAACAATGGAAGCAAAGGATACCCTGGAATGAGAGGATAGGTGACGGGGAAGTCGATATCTTGCTTTGACTGATGGAGATCACCGTGACAGATTCCACAATAGAGTATTTTTATTCGGACATCGGATTCACCAGTGCCTCTGTAGAGGCAAATAATGGGAGATCGATTGATGCCTTATTAAATGAAAAATAATAATCATATGGATAAATGTTATTTGAATCATGTCTAGTTAAGATAACTAAAGAGTTGGTAATATTTGTCATACCTTCTGGTGAAGTTGAAGGGGGAGAGGATGCCGGAATTGTCTCGGGCAGCCCAACCGAATGCTTTATGATGAGTGCTCGTTTTCTTCTCGGCAGCCATTTCAGCTTGTAAATCTGCTAATTCAGAAACTGCGGTTATGGACGTATAAGGTTGAGTCAAGTTTGCTGCTTCAGTTCTGATCGATTGACATATATCGCCACTCTTATATTTATACTTCCAGCTAGACTTCAGGTGACGTACTGCATTACATAACCGGAGAACATAATGGAAGGAGTAATCTATCTGAAGTACTAATGACAAATTGAATGACGTAACTCAACTGCTCTCTCTCTATCTATCTCTTGAAGATTCCTATTTTCTATTTTGTTGAAGCACAGTTGAATGCTTTTTAGACCAACTTTTTAATTGATTAGAATCAAATTCATTAGATTTAATCCGATCAAAGCAAAGTCCATTATTAATAATTTTTTTTTATTAAATTGTTCATATTATCAACCGTGTCTGTTAGTCGTATAAAAAACGAAAAAATATTGTGTTTGAAGTCCGGACTTAAAACTATACTCGGACAACGAATGTGATACACAAACCGCCTCCGATATATCGCGTCCGTTATCTGAACATAGCTTACATCTAGACTCTGAACATAATATGTTTCCCTCCAAAGCAAACTACGCCATCAATGCACGGAAATAATTTTTTCCACAAAAAATAAACTCTAAAAATTAAGTGCAGTAAAATATATTATTTATTATATCAAATAGATTAAAATATGATGGGAAGAGGTGGCGTTTACATCTGATACAGTTAGCTGGAGAGAATAAAACCTGCAACTATTTTTAGAAAATCAAGATCTGAAGAAGCAAGTAGGGCTGTAAATACATCGAGCCTTTGATAAGTTATTCGTAGCTAGCCTCAAGAAGAGCACAATCAGTTCATCCGATTAATTTATGGAATAAATTTGAACACTTCTATGAATGCTCGTTTTGTAAATGAACAAGTTTGAACACATGCTGATTCCATTTGTTTATGTTCTTGAATAATATCATTTAAAGCTCACGATCAACCTCATGATCAAGAAACTCAATAAAAAAAGTTGTTTAAATTAAATTAAATATGAACGATTTAATGTTTATAGAGAAAAATTGGTTAAAACTTAGTTTAAACTTGTGAATACGTTCGTTTATATTAGATTAAATTAAATTTTAATTTGTGATACATAAAATAAGATGAGTACTTATTTGTTTAGTTGTTCATTTATTTTATCATTTATATATTCATTTGAGTTATTCATTTAATAGCTCTTTATTTAAATACTAATTTATTTTGTAAGTTCAACATATTAATATAATTATATATTGTCTAAAGTGTGTATCTATATATATGTGTTACTGTAACCATTATCACTTGAATAAAATGTTGTTATGGTATTTTCCCTTTCTTTGTTTCAACTTGGCATCAGAGCCGTATTTGACAACTTCTCAGCGGGCTCTTCTCCATCACATTCGTCTCTGCACAAAGAACACATATCAATTCTGAATCTCGTTCTCTTTCTCTCCCTCTTAGTTTCTTCCTTCTTTAACCCTGTTCTCATTCCACTTCTTCTTTCCTTTTGTTAATAATTATTTCCTATTTCATTTCCTATTTTATATTTTTTTCCTTGAATTATGAATTATTTATTTTCCTATTTTGTGTTATTTTATGTATCTCCTTATAATTAATATGAATTGATTAATGAAGATATTAAATGATATATCTTTCCTTTCATACCATTTCATTTTCATTATTTTTTCTATTATAGGATTTTTGTAAGGGTTATTTATTCAGAACAATGAAACAATCAAGTATTCCACCGTATTCCGCTAAATTCTGAATTTCAACATGGTATCAGAGCAAAGTTTCGTACTCTAGCCACCGACCCTCATTTAAAAATTATTGGACTCCCTTCCTGTCATCCTCTATGCAGAAAGGGAGGGAAACTCAACTTGCTAATTGAAACAACAATTTTTTCTTCTTCTCCAAATCCCTAATTCCCCGCCGCCTCGTTAGATTATAGAAGCCATGGAAAGAATCATAAAGATGCGCTCCCGTGAGTTCAATCTCGATGTTGCCTCGGAGTCCGAACCAGAGGCGCTATCCCAATCGCCGTCTCCGGGTCCACTCATCGCCATCAACCTCAGCAGCATGGCCATCAAGCCTCCAGCCAGCAATGGCGGAGGGAGTGATCTTGACATCAGATAAGTTCAATCTCGATGTTGCCTCGGAGTCCGAACCAGAGGCGCTATCCCAATCGCCGTCTCCGGGTCCACTCATCGCCATCAACCTCAGCAGCATGGCCATCAAGCCTCCAGCCAGCAATGGCGGAGGGAGGGATCTCGATGATCGCCATCGATGTTCCCCGCTACATCAACATAGACTTAATTCTCCGTAAGATGTTCATCCTTGTGATTCTCCGTCGTTTAAACAACACAATGGGGGTTACTCGCCGTTGCATCACTGGAGGTCTCTTGACGGACTCCGCCACCGTGCGCCCCAACCTCGTCTACAACATCGTGGTTCTGTGATTGGTCTTCGACGACGCGGGTCCCCTTTGTCATTCCATCCACGGTGTCAAAGGTTTCAGAATGATCCAGGGCACATACAACGTCCAGGTTCTATTTCACCGCCGCGCCGGTCAAGGGTGGATGATGGTTATTTTCAACCAGATTTTAGACACCCAAGCGTCAGGGGGAGCTGCGTTTCTAGCCACTCCTTTCTCGTGCAGTATTTTTTTTCTTCCCTGGCCCAAGCATTAGGGGGAGCTCTATTTCCGGCCGTCCTTTCTTCCGCTGCTTTCTCTATCAGCAAAATATACTGGGTGTGATTTACATGTTTTCTCTGCAGCCAACGACAACCGCAATAAAATAAAAGTCCGTTTTCCTGTAGGTTGTCTCTTTCATTGCAAAACTCAAAATTCTGTCAGGTCTGAATCCAGCAAATTCAGTCAAGTCTGAATCTCTCATCTACGCTAAAACATATGACAGACAAAACTCAAAATTCAATAAAGCTTGAATCTAACAAATTCAGTCAAGCCTAAATCCTTCTTCTACGCCGAAACACATGACAGGCAAAACTCAAAATTTAGTCAAGTCTGAATCTAGCAAATTTGATAATCCAAACGACCAATTTTTTTTCACTACTCAGCAAGTTAGGAATTATTAACATACAATCCAAACTTGAGGGGGAGTGTTAAGAACTATAATAGAAAATAATTTATTCATGTAAGAAGTTATGAAAAATAAATTATTTTCTTAGATTGAGGAGATTTTTCATTTCCTATTTTATATTTATTTCCTTGGACTAGGAATTATTTGTTTTCTTATTTTGTGTTATTTCTTATATCTCTTAATAATTAATATGAATTGATTATCGAAAATATTATGTGATATATCTTTCCTTTTATATCATTTCCTTTTTATTATTTTTCTTATTATATGATTCTTATAAGCGTTATTTATACCCTCGTTCATATAAAAAAAAAAAATCAAGTATTCCACCATATTCCGTATAATTCTGAACTTCAACACCTTTCTTGTCATAGATTCCACCGATTCATTCAATCATACCAATACCTTTAAACTTTCCTCTTCTTCTATCCCACCTTCTCTTAAATTTCTCATGGAAAATATCAAAAACCTTTTCACCACCCAAACGAATACATATCTCTACCCTATTAAGAGTTCTCAAAACCACAAATTATTCAAGTACAAACAAGTTTGAATCGTTTCTTGATGGAACAACAATCTATCTTTCTTCTTCCTCTAAAAATGCTTATCATCAGTGAAAACTTATTGATCAAAACTTAGCCGCCGCCCCTTACTCAACCATCTCTTCTATTTTACCCCATGTTCTCAACCTTGAAACTACTACTGGCATTTGGAAAACCTTATCCAAATGCCTTCAATCTTCCAGTCGTTCCAGGGTCATCAATTTAAGAATGAGTTACATAACATGTCTATGAAATCTTACTCTAAGACCCATCATTTGACTGAAATCAAGATCTTGGTTGATTAAATCTTTATAGTAGGTTCCCATGTAGATCTGGAAGTTATTATCATTTACATATTGAATAACCTTCCTAACTCCTCCAATTCCTTCAAGACTGCAATCTGGACCACATTTGAGTCGCTTCCATTGGAAGATCTTTATGGTTCTTTGCAGTAAAGAAATTCATTTGATTACCTTCACAGCCAAGGAACATACTCTATCATAGATAGCTCTTCTTTCCACTAGGGTCATGACCGAACTTATTTATGATGCCGTGGCAGATATTCTAAGCCCTCTGCTTCCTCTTGACGACCAAAATCTACCACTATTTGTCAAATATGCGGAAAGGCCAGTTATTATGCTATCTCTTGTTGTGATTGGTACAATCTATCTTACGCTCCCAAGTCGCTAAATCATCCTCAAGCAGCTTTAACTAAGGACACGAATCCTCTACTTCTGAATGCATTCTTAATACGGGAGCTTCGTCGCATCTAACGATAACAAATACCAATCTCCACGAACCGAACATCTACAATGACAATGAATACATTGTGGTTGGTAATGGTCTTCCCATTCAACACACTGAACATGGGATTTTTCCTACTCCTAACTGTAAGTTTGTGCTCAAGCAAATTCTCAATCTTTCTCATAATTTGAGATCGGTTCATAATTTTGTTTTTCATAACAATTGCTCCATTCAATTTAATCTCACTGGATATCACATCAAGCATCTCACAACGAATAAGGAACCGCTTAAAGAGAGCAGCAAAGAAGGCTTATATCCTATTTATATTCATGAAGCCCTCCATACTCGAGTCAAGACGAAAGTTGATTGACATCAAAGCCTCGAAAATTATCATTTTGATATTCTCAAGCTCATCTGCACTCAAAATAAGTTTCTCAATGTATGTTCTTTTTCTACTAAATGTAGCACATGTACGTCTGCTAAGAGTCATTGTTTGTCCTTACTGAAATCAATAAATCGTAGTACTGCAATGCTTCAATTATTGCATAGTGATGTTTGGGGACCGCCTCCCATTGTATCCATTTATGGGTATAAATACTACATTCTTTTTTTTATGACTTTATAAGACATGAGTAAGTATTTCCTTTGGAAAACAAAGCTGAAGTTCTTTCCAAGTTTATTCAATTATATAAACTTATAAACACACAATTTAATATCATGTAAAAACTCTTCGAACTGATGACAGATGTGAATTTACCTCTAATGTGTTTCAAACATACCTTGCTTAAAATGAGATCCAACAAAAACTCAGTTGTTCATATACGCAAGGACAAAATGGTGTCGCAGAATGCAAACACCGCCATATAATTGAAACAACAAGAACTATGTTTCTCTCAAGGCTCGGTTGCCCTCTAAGTTTTGGACATATGCTATTCCAAAAGCTACCTATTTCATCAACTGTATGCCCTCAAGAAACACAAATCAGATTCTCCTTTTTAGTTTCTTTATAAAAGACATCCATGCTATAGTCATCTAAAAATCATTGGTTCATCCTACTATTCTTGGCAACATCCTACCCTTACCAGTAAACTGACTACCAAAGCTCCACCGTGTTACTATTCTTGGTTACCCCACTCAAGGTAATTGGTATAGATGTTACAATCTTGTCACCAACAAAATCATTATAGCACGACAGGTTACATTTGATGAAGAAAGTTTTCCCTATTTCTTTTTAGCCTAGGAGACCTCTACCCCTACAAACAATGTTTTTCTACCACCTTTCATGCCATTTCCCATATCAACTTAGCTACCTGTAAGTCCCCCTTCACTGAATATCTCCAACAGTTGTGGTATTTCTTCTGATGGGGCGTCTTCCATTCCCATAGCTTCATCACGGCCTATTCCTCAACTGCCAACCAAAACAGTTACAAGAGAAATTAAACCAGCCATGCCAAGTTCGACCCACGTTACACATCCACTGCAAACCATGTTGAAAACAGGAAGTTTGAAGCCGAACAAATTTTTGGATCTACATCATCAGCTCATTGACTCACAAAAACCAACCCATTTTACTCGTGTTGTCAAACTTACACATTGACAAGAAGCATGTCTCAAGAATTTTTCGCTCTACAGCAGCAAAAGACATGAGAATTAGTTCCTCCACCACTAAAAACAGGTGAAGGATTGTTTTGGTGTTTTAAAAACAAATAAAAACATGTTTTTGTGTTTTTTGTATTTTAAAAACATAACTGTTCTCCAAATAAATAAAAAACAGATAGACATACTTTATTGTTATGTTTGTTTTCTATTTTTTTTCAAAAATAAAAATTGATCTCAAACAAATCCTTAATAAATAGCACCACATGACTCACACGTACCAAAATTTCCAAATTATATTTGTTGTATTAGCTCATGAATATGATAACTACAGTTTCTTTCATGTTTAAAATTATATATATATATATATATATA